GCTGGGGTTCGGATCTTGCAGTGGTGACAGCATGATCCAGAGCTGCTCTGGTGTTCAGGCAGCAGATTGCAGCTGTGCCTCGGCTCTGGACCATGCTGTCAGTGCTGCAAAACCCCAACCCTGGAACAGTTCCCTGCCCAGCTGCGTGTCTTGCCAGTGCAGCTGGGGCCAGTTTCCATAGAAGGAAACTGTCATGCCATCCTGGCCCCTGTCATGCCATCACCACTCTGGGGTCCCCATGGAAACTGGCCTCAGTGACGTAGGCAGGGGCTGCTGGGAAATGGAGTCTGTAGCAAGTCAAATCTGGCCCGTGGGCTGGACTTTGCCCACCCCTGCACTATATAGAGAAGTGTCCATTGACGTATTTTTTTTAAACATTGCCTCCTGTGCCCTAACTCCAGAACAAGTAACAGGTTTCATTTTCTACAGTTGAGAAGGTTCCCAGTAGGTTGAATGTTTCCTTACCTTAGAGTGAAGTTGAAGGAAAGGCCCGTCAGCATTTTAAGGCCTGTCTGTTCATACTGATTTAATCACAGTAAAGATGTTTTTGGGGAAGAACTGAAATACTTTCCACAATTTATTAATGCCTACTTTAATGGCAGCTCTTGGCGACTTCTTCATGGTTCCACATAGCGCCACACAGAGGAAAGACCATAGCTGAGAAATCAGTTGAAAAATGCAATGGAAGGTTAGGTATGTTTCTTCTTCAACATTAGTCAGTAAGTCTTGAACTTTATTTACATAAAGTACACTTAAATCACAGAAAATTAAGACTCATAATTGTGTGACTTCCATTTGTCACAAAAAATTATTAGTGTTTACTGTTAGTTTGGTAGGAGAAAAAAACATTCTACAGAGCTTTTTGGGGGGAAAGTTAAGGCTTTTCTTCAGTACAAAAGTCTAACTGCAAAAAGAAGATAAGGAACATATTGAATTAGCTGAAATAATTTTACTTTAGTGAGTTGGAGAGAAAGAGGAAGGGTCTTAAGAATCCAGGATCAGGCCCTTCAATACACAGAGGCACGTCTTTGTATATATGAGGAGGAGTCAATGTTATGTTTAGAGAAGATAAAGTTTAAAGTTAATCAAAGATTGAGCAGTATATTATTGTGTTTAGCCAGAAGAGCAGAGGGATGGTTGGATGGAGCTTGCTGAGGTCTACGTTTGGGTGAACAGGGAACAGTTTATTGTGGGGCTAAGAATGTCAACCTATGTTATTCTTGACTTCTAGTGAGTGACTTGTTTACTTTCTGGACATTTCCCAAAAGAGTGAGTGGTCACAATTTAGATTCTGATAACACAATATTAGCCATTAATATCGTGCAGGAGGTGACGGTGATCAGTATCTTGCAGGATTAGCTCCTAAAGTCATGTGAAATCAGCTCTAAGTGCATTTACTAAGCTCAGTCCTTAAAGTCATGCATGCCCTCAAGGGGAAATGAGGCAACCAAACTCTGTAAAAGGTGCACAGCAGGTTTAGGCCTGTCAAATGGAAATTTGGGCTAGAGTGTAACAACAGTCAGGCAGAAATTGTGGACAGCCCTGTTCCCGATGCCAAAAATGGGCTGCACATGCAGTTTTTAAGGGTCTCCAGTGCAGAGGAACCTGAGATCAGGGAGTGGCTCCTTGGTCACAGGGTCTGGTGCCCTAGGACATCTAAAAAACTGCCAGTTGTTCCCAAACCCTAGGGCTGCTCATGGCTGGGCTGACAATCAACTGATTGTTGGGCCTGGTTCCAACAGCTTTGGGTGTCAAACAGGACCCAGGGCTGACAATCAGCTGACTGCCAGCTCTGCGTGCAGGACTGCGGGCACCCGACTTTCAATTTGCCAGTGCAGGAGGAGTAGAAACTGGCTGCTATTGGGATCTGATCCCTGATTCTGAAATTACACCATCTGCCATGGACGTATGGCATGGTAGGAGGTGTGATTGTTGGGATTGAGGATCAAATTCCGTTGTGCCATTAAATTAATGTGAGCCAGGGGCCTGATTTAAATAAATCTTTGACTTTCTCAGATGTCAAATTATAAGACTACAAAAGGACAGATTAATAACATGATAACATTAAATGTGGAAAAGAAGAAACAGAGATCATATGCTGATGCCAGATTACTTGTACTGGGCTTTGGGGGTACATAATGAATGTAGGAATTAGGTCTAAAACTAAGATAAAACTCTCCCTATATTCACTAAATTTGTGCAAAGTCACAATTTGGAAATGTGAATTCCATTGCTTGTTAAACCATTTAATAAACAATATAGGTAGGGTTTCAATTACACTTTGACTCTTTGGGGGTGGGGGGAGAGGTTCTGCAAAATAAATTGGGCTGCCCATCACAATGCCCTAATAGAATCAGAGCCCCCACCAGGTTATGATTTTCAAATCTTATAGGGGGCTCTCATCTCTTATGGGAGGGCTCCCCCCTCCCCCCGTGAGCTCCCCTATAATTCAAACCCTGAATATAGGTGAGTTTGCAGTAACATTGTAATCAGCTGAAAAATTGCTTTTAATGCTAATATTAAGCCACACAATGTTATCAATGTTTAAGATAGGAATCTTTTTAAACATGATTTACCCAGTTCCTATTCCTAGAACTGCAATTCATGTACTCTATATTGGAAAACATGCATTAATACTAAGGGAAAGATTTTCACCCTCTGTAAGGTCTTTTTTTCTTCTTTTTTTGGTTAATGCTGTATCTTATTTTTACCTTGTTCTTGCTATACAGAAAGATAATTCTCTTCATGATATTTGGTTAGCCAAGGGGACTGACAGGAATTGCTTTATGAGACTGGAATTTTAAGCCACCTGCCGGCTAAAGTTTTGTGAGAAGTTAAACAGGGAATGGAAGGAGTGAAGTAGTTAGCATGAAGGTCAAGGAAAATGTGTGACTTTGGAGGAAAAAACACTAGCAGCTGATAATGGCCAAGTAAGTGGCTAAGTGGGTCTATTGCTTGTTATGCAAAATATACTTGTTTTACTCTTGCTTTGTAGAAAGCAATAAATGATGGAAAAAGTAGAAAGCAATAAACAGTGGAAAAAGGAGTGGCATTTTCCCAAACTCTAATCATACACTATGCTCTGTTTGAGATGCCAGCCCCAGTGGATGGTGACAGCGTTTAAAACATGATCACATATCCGCTTCTGGCTTCCCCTCTGTCCAATGTAACCATAACCCACGTATGGTTATGAAGAGGATCTTGAAAATAATCATCACAATGCCATGTGATGTCTGTCTGAGTCTGCAGTTAACCTTAAAAAGAGGAAGGAACAGCAGTCATTAGAGCTGGGGGAAACTACCTACCATTATAGCAGTCAAAGCCTTGCTGCTATATGGTAAGTGTGGCAAAAATGCCACTGTCGGTGCCCCTCTGCCGAGATCTGTCTCCACCAGCCTGAGAGGTGGCTGTTGAATCCCTCACAGCGGGGATCTTGCTCCTTGTCTGCAAACAAAAGCCTGGCGCCTGGGAGGCGATGCTCTGGTCACCTGGGCAGGGGGGGAAAGACCCGGCCCTGTGCGCGGGCCCAGGTAGCCAGGGATGCTTTGTAAATTGGTCGGTTTGTAGCCAGTATTGGCAGCTTCGATTGGACCGGCTGCTGAGGTCAGAGGGGTTATAAAAAGGCCTGGGCCAGGAAGAAGGGGAGCCATTAGCCATGCGGTCATCCAGGTGAATCTGAACCTGGCTCTCTCCTCATCACTGCATGCTCCAAGAGTGCCCTGCCTCCAGAGGAAACAACAACCACCTCTGGATGATGTGAGTGAGTAAGCTACTAGAGATCCGATCAAATATTTAGCTTCAGTAACTCAGATGCGTGGTTAAACGGCTACCTCAGCCACCCTGGTTTGCTCTATGGGATTCCTTTGATATTCCTGTAAGATTTCTTGATATTGCTCTACCTTTTACCCTATTTCTGCCCTACCCCTGTCATCAATAAAGTTCTCCTTTGAAACCGGTGTGGGAAACTTATTGAGGGGTGGGTCTAAATTATGCCAAGGAGGCCCCTTAGGTCTGTGGACTAAGGGAGGCTTCCCTAATCAGCCCCTGACTTGGGGAAGTGCCCCAAGTGCTTGTGTTGGGTCTAGCACCCATTGGACGATCAGGCCTGTGTTCTCCAAGGTGCGCAGAGCCAGAAGTGAGTCCAGAGCCTTGGATGGTGGCAGCGGGAACCCCAGGCTAGCGGGTGTGCTCCAGGGAAGGGGTCGGCCGGACGGGAGGCACCCCTAAGGGAGGCACTCGGAGCCTGGAAGGGGGGCGGCGCAGGGAGGGGGGCGGGTCAACGCAGGAGCGCCCCCTACTGGCCCGCCACAGTAAGAAGCTGGCTTTAATTAATCTCTGCTGGAAGGGAAAAAGACTATTACTGCTTCTCCAGGTATCAATGCATACAGGTCCTGGAAGGCCCAGAGAGTATTAGGAGGAAAATTGGATGCTGCCCCCAATTTCCTCTAAGCAGGGAAAAAAAGAACTTGTGGTATTCCCCATGATTATGTGGACATCCCAGGCAATGTACAACTAAAATGATTGGAGCTATTAATTTCAGGCTGTCTGAAGACAATGGAAGATATCACTGTATATTGCATCAATTGTACTTGTTTCACAATTTAAAGGTTTTCTTCATCAATATAATTTTTAATGAACGCTGAGATTCTGGAGAGTCAGATGGCAGCCTCAGAACAAAAGAAATAATACTAATAAAAATATGGCAGGAGCCCAGATCTGCCCTTCCCAGTCACTTTTTTGTTTCAATTTGTTGCTTTTTGTCAGATACTGGGGTGATCTCTGGGGCAAAGGCCATCTTGGCACATAAGAACCCAGAGACCCAGATCCTATACTGGGCAGAAGGCAGCCTGAAACAGTAGGACTAAGAGGTGCACATAATGACCCATTCATCTCTGTTGTATATTACCTCAGACCAGTAGCGTTCAACTTTCTGAGCCTGCAGGCTAGATGAGTGGCACGAGGCTAGGGCACAGGCCAGATCTCACAAGTAAGGCTGGTCTATGGACCAGATCCAGTGTGGGGACCAGATCCAGCATGGGGTCAGTTTGCAAGTGAGATCCAATGTGCCCACCCAGACCTGTGTGCCAGATTTTTTTTTTTTGCAGAATATATATCTCCACCTCCAGCTCACTCTGCCAAGTGGCCCTTGTGGTTCACTTTGCGGCTCAAAGCACACTAAAAACCTGCTACACAATCTGCATCGCACAACCGCGCACCAATCCCTATACCCGTACCCCTACCCACTGCCCTGCCCAGGGGGGCTAATCCTGAAAAAGTCTATGCCAGACCGCTCTCCACCAGATGAGGCCTGCCATTTCTTTCCCGTCATCCTCTTCTGTCATTCTGTAGTACTAATACATTTCACTTAGTCCCATTTTAATACAGTCCACGACTGTGGGGTCAGATCTGCACTGTGCAAAACCAAGAACCTGCTCACAAACAGACATTCGGACCCTGTATGCCCAATCCAATGATGGACCGGCCCTGCAGGCTGGACGTGGAGTACGACGGTCTCAGATGCTAATGGGGCACGGCACAGCACAGCCACCTAGGGCCTTGTTACACCTACAGTGAGCCACACCAATGTTGGTTAGTGATGGTGCTGGCTCCAGTCTGGACGGAGCACTGGTTCATTCAGGCCAGCAGGGACCAGGAGGACTGAAAGACAAGAATCCCCCTGCAGCCCTCGCCCTCCCTTCCAGACAGTGTAACACCAGCTCCCAGAGATAATCCTGTCCTGGCGCAGGGCAACTCTGGGCACTTGAGAAGTGTTTAAAACTAGTTTCAGGTGTCAAGGGACAATCCCAGTTTAAGAGTTCCAGCAGCTGCCCCCAATGACTGTGTGACAAAGCTCTTAATTCATCCTTCCTCCACCGAGGACTTAAAAGCATCCTCCTGCCCATACCACCGTGTGAAAGAGCAGCCCGCGGCAGTGCAGTGCAGGGGGTGGGACAACCCGCCTGCTTGGAGGAGCGGGAAGCCGGGTCCTTCCCTTACCCCCGGCCCGGCCCGGCCCGGGGAAGCCGGCTGCCTGCAGCGCCTCAGCCGCGCGGGGGAGGGAGGCTGCACCGCCTGACGCCGGGAACCAGGAGCGGGCACTGGGAACCGGCCGCAGCCTCCCCCGCGCCGGGCTCGACGCAACGG